GTGGCACGGTCAATTCTCCCGGGGAGATCATCCCAAGCCTACCATCATGCTCGAAGCTGTTGCTTCGAATGACTTGTGGATTTGGCATGCTTTTTTCGGTGTCGCGGGCTCGAACAACGACATCAACGTTCTCAATCAATCGCCTGTTTTTGATGATTGGGTTAATGAGACCGCACCGGACTCCTCTTTTGAGCTTAGAGGGACGCTTTACAAGCGTGGATATTATTTGGCAGATGGAATATATCCGGATTATTCCACGATTGTCAAATCTCTCTCCGAACCAATGGGTCTTAAACGCCAAACCTACAAAAAAGCTCAAGAGGCGGCGAGAAAAGATATTGAACGAGCCTTTGGGGTCTTGAAGGCTAAGTGGCACATTCTAGATCGTCCGTCGAAATGTTATTCTCAGACAAAAATGAGGAATATCATGTACGCATGTATTATTCTTCATAATATGATCATAGAGAATAACGGGTCTGCGATTTGTCAATACAACCCGGACGAGGAGGTGCCTATGTACGAAGAAATCACCGAAGAAAAGAAACGACGCAACCGCCAAGAAATTCGAAGCCGAGAGATTCACAATGCACTAACGGCGGATTTGATCGAGCATATCTTTAGTCGTTCGAATAATTAGTGATTTCTTTGCACTGTTGTTTTTTTTATGTAATTTTTTTTTAATGAATGTAATTTTTTTTAATGTTTTTTTTATGAATGTAAGATTTTTTATTAATGAATTTAATTTTTTTTATGCAGTAGTGTCATTGCGATTAAATAAAATAATAAATTAATTTAAAATTATAAATTTAAATTTAGAAGATGTATATTTAAAAATGTAAAAAATGAAGGTTTGAAGCCCCAGTTTGAAGCCCCGGGGCTTCAAAACCATTTCCAGTGAATTTTGGGTGTAAGTTAAAGCTGACGTGGCAGATAAAGAAAGTTTGAAGCCCCGGAGCTTTATGACCATTACCAGTGCTCTAAGGCACCCACTAAAAAGAAGAAAAAGTCAAACCGGGAAGTTTATTCCCGGACGGAGGGAGTATTATCTATTTATCTCAATTCTTTCTAATAGAGTTTGTTGTCATAATCCGATAGTAAAGTTATCAAAATAACCAAAGTGAATTCAAATTGAAAAGTGTACTACTGGATTTGCTTAAGATTTAATTCTAAGAACAGAGATGGGCGAAGAATGGTGATTAAGGGTGCAGTAAAAGTGGGAGAAATGGTAAGGGAAGCGGGTAAAGCTGTGTGTGAATAGAGACGAGATCGACCTGTCTATCTACCCCCACCATCCACTCGCACACCCTACTGTGTACACACACACACACAGAAAGTCTGATCATCTGATTCTTGTTTTTCCATCTTTATTGAATCCCCTCATCTGTCTGTCTCTCTGATAATTAAAACAAGAATCAATCTATCCAATACATTCATTCATTTTCTTTCCATATTGACCCAATCCCATTTTCTCTCTCTTTCTCTCTCTATACCCACCAAACCAACACCCTTTCACACTTTATGCATCTCTCTATCGGCAAACACTCATAGCTGTGGTTGCATATAGTTTGAGCTTTGATTTTGACTTGAGGTTGACCCATATCTGGTTCTGAGATCAGGTGTTCCCAGCTAGTTCAAGCTTTGCCTCGCTTGGAAAAGATATAGAAGCTTTCTCGAAGCTTTGGGATCCGATATGAGTAGTAGGGGTTGTGGGTTGACCCTGATTTGAATCGCTTTTTCTAAAAGGTATAGCCTTTTTTATTTTCTTGACGAAAGAAAACTAGTATTGGGTTTAGCTTCTTTTTTTTCTTCTCTTTTCTATCTATCGCCTGTTTTTTGGGTATGAACCCAAGATTCAAATGCATTTCAACCCTTTTCACACTTACGTGTACGATATGCTATGACTGTCTCTCTTTCTGCAACAATTTGTGTGCCTGTTATTGTAATTTCCTAGTAGAATTTAAGTCCCAGGTAGAAATTCCATTTATAATATAGATCTGCTATCATGGGCATAAAATAATTTAATGTAAGATGGGTTGCCTTAGTTGCAAAAATTGATCCAGTTGGGGTACTTTAAACTTGGTAGTGGTCAAATTGACACTTGCATTAGCTTGCTGCAACTTTCTGGGCATTGGGGATGGGCTGCAAGAGTTCAAAATTCGCATCCTGGTGTTGGAGGGGACAGAATCGGCCGATTCATGAGGATCGCAATCTGGGTATAGTGAAACTATATTTGGTTCCAGTTCTCTTAAGGACGGACTCCAGAATTTTCATTGGTTTTGGAATTGCTTCGCAGATAATGAAGATGCAAATGAAGCTAGCGACGTGCCCACTTTTAGGGAGTACACAGTTGAACAGCTGAGGATAGCTACCTCTGACTTTGCAGTGGAGAATATAGTTTCTGAGCATGGTGAGAAAGCTCCAAATGTGGTTTACAAAGGGAAAATGGATAATCAGAGGCGGGTTGCTGTCAAACGCTTTAATAGATCTGCGTGGCCTGATGCACGGCAGTTTTTGGTTTGTTGTTTTTACTTCGAATTACAACTACTAGCCTGTTTTGCACTTGGGTTCTGGTTTCCCCCCCTTTTTCCCTAATGATTTAGCTACAAATTTTGAACTTCAGGAAGAAGCTAGGACAGTTGGTCAGCTCCGGAACAACCGATTGGCTAACCTTCTTGGCTGTTGCTGTGAAGGTGATGAGAGGTTGTTGGTTGCAGAGTTTATGCCTAATGAGACTCTTGCGAAACATCTATTTCACTGTAAGTCGAACGTACACATAATCTATTTAGTGTCTGATTTTCCTAACGCTCTTTCTGTACTTTAGACCATGCTATTGCAAATGAGAAAAACAAAACTTTTTGCTAAAATTTCCATCACCATTATTGCTAGGAAGAGGGAGAGTATAGCTGTTATGCTCAGGGCATATATGTTATTCTCATATACAGAGTACTTATGAGCTGGCACTCAAAGTTTATATTATGTTGCCATTCAGGGGAAACTCAACCAATGAAGTGGGCAATGCGGTTAAGAGTTGCCTTATACCTTGCACAAGCTTTAGAATACTGTACAAGCAAAGGACGTGCTCTTTATCATGATCTTAATGCATATAGAGTAGTCTTCGATGATGTAAGTGCAATATAGATTTTATTTTCACTGTATTTTTGTTTGTGGTTTCATAAGCATTGTTTAGTTCAGACCTGTAAATGTGGTACGGCTAATGACAAATAACCTTTCCTGGTCTCGTAGGATGGTAATCCCAGGCTCTCTTGTTTTGGATTGATGAAGAACAGTAGAGATGGAAAAAGTTATAGCACAAATTTGGCGTTTACTCCACCTGAATATTTAAGGACTGGTAACAACTACTCCGTATCACAGAAGTGTTTGTGGTCCTTGTTTCTGCATTTTATTCTTTATAAATGTGTGTTTATGATCATCGACACACCATTAATCCTAAGTATACTGGGTCTGGTGACATGATTTTTAATGTCAATTAATTATCTAAAATTAGTTAACGCTATAGTTTCACACGTAAAATCACAAAGGATGCATTACAAGATTGATATTGTAAAACTAACATGCGCATCGTGCAACATGGTCTATTTATAAGTATGCATTTTATCTGAAAAATAAGCTTAATTTTGACAAACTAGTACTGAGTTTATTCGTTTCTCTAATAGAATGGAGGAAATGGACTTTGGTCCTTGATATTGAGTTTTAGATATCATTGTATAAACCATGTGTAGGTTTTCATGTTGAACTATCATCGAGATTGTTATTTGAAACTTTTGCAGGAAGAATAACTCCAGAGAGCGTCATGTATAGCTTCGGAACACTTTTGCTTGACCTTCTCAGTGGCAAACACATTCCTCCAAGCCATGTAATTTCCCTTTTGGTTAAACTAACTTACATTTTGCTAATGCAGCTATGTATAAGAGGTCATTGTTTTTTGTCTTCTGAAGTAATGGACTCTAAATGATGTCATCATGTCTGTAAGAAGAAACTTTTTGTATCATTTCAATGCTCTTTGATTCAAATTTCAATTCCCAGTGCAATGCAGCCTTTTATGTCGTCCTTAAGCATGAAGATTGTAATGAAGTAGCTGTATCAACGAAGCATTGTTGCTTCTGTGCAAACTTTAGATTCATAAAGTTGTTAATTACTCCACATTACCTAAAAAAGAGTTCCGACATCCTGTTTAAAACTTATCTATAGGTAATGACTTTTAAACTAAATTAGTAATTTAGTAATGACTTTTACTAAATTAGGAAGTTGTACCTTTGTGAAAAAGAATCCGTTTTCTGGGATGAAGGGAGTACTTCTATTAGTTAACTGTCTTCTATAGGTAATGACTTTTAAACTTACCAAATAACAATTCTTGAAAATATTTGGAACTATCACTTGTTCTGCTTTTAATAAAAAAGTTTTGTTTAATTAGTCCATGTATTTTCTTGCATTTTGGTGTGGTCCATATGTGTTAATTTCCATGCTTTTTTCACCCGATGCTCCATTTACTTTATTTCAGGCACTTGATCTGATAAGAGACCGGAATCTTCAGATGCTAACTGATTCTTGCTTAGAAGGTCAATTTTCAAATGATGATGGAACTGAGTTGGTTAGAATAGCATCTAGGTGCTTGCAATACGAGCCTCGCGAGAGACCAAATGCAAAGTCTTTAGTTGCTGCCTTAATACCTCTTCAGAAGGAAACTGAGGTTCGTTATAATCCAAATTGATCCATTGGATATCAGCCTTAGCAAGTTCAAGTGGTTTCTAGTTGATTGATTTCCTCACAACCACTCATTTTCTTTAGCAGTTTAACTTTTAGTTCATTTGGGTGGAGTCGGTCCTTTTTTTTTGAAATAGATGTACAAACTGAAGCTTTCAAAACTGAACGTGGTATTCAGGTGCCATCTCATGTACTAATGGGCATACCAATGAACGGCGAATCTATGTCTTTATCTCCACTTGGTGAAGCTTGCTTAAGAAAGGACTTGACTGCCATACATGAAATTCTACAAAAGCTTGGGTACAAAGATGACGAAGGAGCAGCTACTGAGGTTTCCTCTCCTTACCACTTCTGATATGTTTTCTAGCAAGGCCTGATGTTGGGAGTCTGTCCCTAGATTAATAATTATGGAAAAACTATGGGTGCTTTAATTAACCATGGTTAATGCTTAACTCAAATGCATGTCTGTTTGCAGCTTTCGTTCCAAATGTGGACCAATCAAATGCAGGAGACATTAAACTCAAAGAAAAAGGGAGATGCCGCTTTCCAACACAAAGACTTCAGGGCTGCAATCGATTGGTACTCGCAGGTTAGACCTATCATCATCCATCAAATTCAACCCTCTCACTACTACATCTATGTGGCTTGACCAATCTTTAATGTTGATTTCATTTCTTTATGTATTCCTTAATGGCAGGCATACACGTGTATTTACATTATGATTATATTTATTTATGCAGTTTATTCAGGTGGGGACCATGGTTTCCCCGACAGTGTATGCTCGCCGTTGTCTGTCATACCTCATGAGTGATATGGCAAAAGAAGCACTAGACGACGCGGCACAGGCACAAATCATATCCCCTGTTTGGCACGTCGCTTCGTATTTACAGGCCGTTTCTCTTTTCACATTGGGGAGGGAAAACGACGCGCAAATTGCGTTGAAAGAAGGGGCTGCTCTTGAGGGAAAGAACACTTCCTAAGTTACTCCATATGTTCACAGCCTTGTGTCTTCTTTATAAGAATGAAATCACGACTTTTAAAAAAAGGTTATTAATGCTTCAGCTTAGTCTCTCTGCTGATACGGCATCGTCACTTGCTCTCTACTCAAAAAAAGGTCTTTCTTGGTTAGCGCGGGAAATTAGTTGGGTGAGATTGGTGATGCTGGCTACTTTTTCTGCGATTTAAATGAAAATGTACAGTGCCTTTGCCTTGCTATATACATGCTGTGCTTTTTTAGCTTGCTCAAGAAGAGATTGACTGATTTTTCTTCCTTTTTTTAACTTCTCTTGTTTCTTCCCCCCAATTGGGTTGCTGTTTCACCATTTGGTAATTTCTGTGGGTGCAAGTTCTAATTGTCTGCAACCAGTTTACTTTACCCCTATTGTGGATTATTATTATTATTGTTATTATTATTAATGTTATTATTTTTTGTTGTTATAACTTTTTTTTGGCTAGAGAAAGTGTTCACTCTGTTTTTGGGTGCCTTGGCACTTTGAGCAGAAAAGAAAGCCCTTTGGATGCAGAAACTCTGTCGTCTTGTCAAACATTGAAAGTTCTACCCTTGTGGTAGAAATAAAATATTGTGGCAACCCAGCATAAACAGGTGGAACAACACTGTCGTCTTGTGAGTCATTTTAAATTTTGAGTTCAAATTATTATTTAAAATCCAATACCTTTGGGTTGAATTCTTGAATCTCATCTATATATATAAAAAACAAGTTTGGTCAAGCATGGATGGACAGTTGTACCCCTTGGGGTAGAATACTTACAGACAACCCAGCATAAACAGGCAGAACAAAAACTATGTTTCCTTGTTCGTTCAATTGGATGTGGAGGGAGAATCAGGAGGAGGCGCTGTTGGCGGCGGCGCATGAAGTGAGGTTGGTGTCCAAGCATAGACAAGCATCCCCAGGACAAGGATGGCTGCTCCCAATATGAAACCTGGAGGGAGAGGCGACGGGGCTCCCAGATACGGTAGTGGCAGTGTGAACAAAAACACCGATATCGGAACTGCAACATTGTGCATAATAGACACGCAACAAACCAATAAAATTGAGTTGAATCCGTTCAATTTGAACTCTTAAAAAGTGCGGGGATGGCAATAATATAGAGCGCATGGCGGTGGGGTTGGCCTTTTACGTACCTGAAAATGTGGAAACGAGGCAAGAGACGACGGCGGAGGAGATCTTGATCAGGTGCAACAATGAAATATTGAAACCCATATTCACTATGACAAATAGCACTGGTAACAATGGTGCCCCATCACATCCTATAGCACCCACAACATGGAACCAATGTCATTCAGCACTTCTTTTTTGTTTTTATTTATTTATTTATAAACAGCACAATGTTATCATATCTGAAACAGAGTACAACACCAACAACAACCGCGCAAGCCTTAATCCCAATTAGATGGGGATGGCAAATCCGAAACAGAATGTAGAAGAAACACACTGTAATACCCCGACTTGAAATGGGATAGTTAAGAAAGAAACTTCATACTACTACATACGAATAAGATGCATTTTCTTTTCGAGAACCCATAATTTTGAAACTTCAAGGTTAAGTGAGCACATCTGGCCTGTGTGGGGTCGGGGTGTTACAAATGTAGCACACCTAAGAACTATAATCTTTCACTGTTATAAATATAATCGTCTTTTGTACTAAAATTTTCTTATCGTGTTTTGTTTTAGATGTTCTACAAATTTCTTCTCATTTCCTTCTAACAAAAGACTTGCATGGTTTATATAGTCTCTCTCAATTTAGTTGAGCCACAACCACAATGTTTCGTTTGCTTTAACAAGCGTGCCAAGTAGAAACAAGAAGAAAAGTTAGCAGACATTGTCAAGAGTGAATTACCTTGTATGGTCCCAAGGTTCAAAAAGCAGGCTGCGCCATCTTTTAAATATGCAGGCAATTGAAGAAACGGGATACCCCACAACTTTGATAAAAAAGGAAGGAGGAGGCTTATAAAAACTGCCTGCCATACAGATGAAAATAAGGTTCAGGCTTCTCTGCTTAAATTTGAGGAATAGAATAAGCATATGAAGAGACTGAGGATTCGACCTGGAAAGCCGATCCGTAGGTGTTCACAACAAATAGATCCACCGTGCCTCCCTGCCAACACAACAATAGACTTAAGATGAGTAAGAGATACTGTATACTTTAATGAACAATAGCGGAAGAAATCACATGAATCGATAAATCATTCTTCTAAGTTTAGAATGCAATTTAAAATCTTCTATCTCATTTTTTTCAGGTACAATTTTGTCACTCATTCTGAGCCTTTGACATCATATTACTACTCCATTTGTCCCAAAAGCAAAGAGTTCATACTGAAAAACCAATGTTTTATGTAATTTGCTATTAAAAAACTGTCACAAGAAATTACTTTGGTCTTACGAGGCTATTAGGTATATTTGGTCATTGACTTCTCATTCTTTTGGTTTTTAGTGTACGACTATGGATTTCTTGCAACTTTTGGACCTTTCAATCACTTTTCCAGCCAATTTCTAGATGATACGGACAAGTGATCAGTAAAGTACACATGGCAAAATCAGAATAAGTGAAAGACCAAGAAGAGTATGCAGCAAGATGCAGAAAACCTGCCTTCAACTTTTGAGCAGCATCCAAAAATATCATTTCCTGCAAAGGGAATGTGCCTATAAGATAATGAAATGTAACAATTGTGAAGTGAAAAGCGGAAAGGTAACGCATTCAACCTTCAAAACAGTATCAGCAGCTTGAAATAAAAAAGAAACGATCATTAGAAGACTCCAAAACATCCCAGCTTCCATCATAGAACCAGCACTAGATCCACTGCGAAAGGATTACATATGTTAAAGTGGAAACACGGGTAACACACTTTTAGACCTGGGAGCATCTGTTTTGAGCATTAGAATTGCCAAGTAAGAAATGGTCTACCTTGCTACAGTTGCAATTACACCCATTGCCACAAAAAAGCACCCAAACAATTGGTTGATGCTATATCTTCTGCCAAGGAAAATCCAAGATAGAAGAAGTTGCCACACAAGAAAGCTCTGCAGAAATCAACAGATGAGCACATTATGTTCCATACTAACTAACATTTCAACTTTAGCAGAATGTTAATACACCATGTTAATACTAACATTTCAACAGCACTTTCATACCAATTATCTCTATGTTCACAGAGTTCAACAATTAATAAAAACAATACCAAACTGGTCCTTTTTATGCCATGCATTGGTTTTTGCATCATATTTACACATTTGGTTGTTATCTCTATAACCAATCACCTATGGTGTATGGATTTTGCTACCACAAAAAAGTTTGAGATTTGGCACTGTGCCATATTAAAGGAAACATGAAATGGTGAACTAAAGGCACCACAAAATTTCATTACCTGAGATAAGACTGGAATTGCTGCACCACAAAGAGTAGCTGTTGGGGTAAGAAAATAGTTTGCATCGTCAGTTATCATATTTATGATGTTAAATTATGCTCAATGAACTTAAAATACAGAACACATATTGGTAAGAACTACAAAAGCAGTTACTGGTATGAACTATAATATTGACAAAAATGCAGTTTCGAAAACAAATTACATGACTATCAACCATAAAGAATAGATTCTATAACAAATTAATGACCTCAGTGGATTATTCAGTATGCATAAGTTATGTCTTCATTTGTATTCTTGGTATTAAGCGAAAACAGATCCTTAAACATTGGTCAAAGGGGCATTATACAACAACAACAACAACTCAGTTAAATCCTACAAGAGTAGGGTCTGGGGAGGGTGTGTGTACGCAGACCTTACCCCTACTCGAAAGTAGAGAGGCTGTTTCCAAAGAGCCCCCTGGCTCAACGTCGAAAGTTGCATTGCTTGACTAACTGCTACTTCATTAATTAAAGAAGCGCAGACAGTTTAGAGATCCATTTTGATTTATTCCATCACACCCCAAAGCCAAAAAATGGTGAAATTTTGGCTCCATCGGAGATGATGGAAAACAAAGGGGCATTATAATTGGTCATTATTGCTCAGAAAATGTACTCCAGGAGAAAGATCAATGAATAGGGATATGGCAACACTGTGAACATCTTACTTTGGAAATACGCTCAAATACACTTCACTGATGCAAAAAAAAAAAGAGAGAGAAGTAGAGATAGTAAGTATCCGGTACCTCCTGCAGCCATACCACAAGCAGCACCAAGAGCCTCCAAGAGACCAACAGCAAGAAATGGACTTTTAGGCAGTGATAGCATTTCATAAGTAACCTTCCCAGCATGGTAGCGAAGAAATAGGATAGAGGAGTACACAATAACATACCTAGAGAGGAAAATCAAAATCATAAATAAGTATAGCAAATGATAAGAAATGATGAATTAAGTGAATTAACATGGATATTTGTTTGCTACCATATGTGAAATTAATAAAAAAAGTTCATTACAATTTTCACTTCATTCTCCTTCCAATTCTTCCTAGGTCTACCCCTTCCCCTACTTCCCCCGACAACCATATAATCCTCTCGCATCTCCGTACAGGGGCGCCAGCATTCCGCCGTCTCACATGACCAAACAATCTCAACCTCCCTACTTCCGAGTAGGGGCAAGGTCTGCGTACACACACCCTCCCCCCTACTGTGGGATTCAACTGGGTTGTTGTTGTTGTTGTTCTTTTCATTGAACAAGGAGGTAAACCATAGGTTAATATTTTTTTGCAATAATGACATCAACAGATCACGTTTCCAAATAATCTTTACTGACAATTTCTGGGATCTAGTTAGCATTAAAATTGCTGAACATGAAAATTATCTTCTCCTTGGATTCATGTATGGTTTTCCCTCTACATGTTCTTAAGAGTTTTTTGCCTTACACAAGTATAGTTGGCAATCCTTTCCCCCTAACATATTTGCATGATCTTTTCGTTAATCATATCATGTGGTGAAAACTTTGAAAATCAAATCTTAAATCTTAAATCCTCCATTAGCGTGACTCGTGTGAGCACATGTCTCCGGCGCGCCAAATGTTATCTGAAAACTGGCAGGATATACATGGACAGTTTAGCTTGTGAACCCGTACGTGGTAACTTTTAGTCTACCAGGTTGGAGCGGACGCTCTTGAATATTTGTAATCAAACAAATTCAACTCTGCTGTGTTTAGTTCACATCCTAACATGTTCACAGATTGGAATTTTCCACCGTGTACAGGCAAAGTTTGCCAGGGTTTTTACTCTTCTACATGTAAAGGCTTAGTATGACAGGTTTGTTGCTCTATTCTGGTATAAATGTTAAGCATTAAACAATTTGAGTTGAAATAACTCCAGTTCAAAATTGAGACTGATTCAGAATTTGAATTTTAAAATGGGATTAAACCATTTTGCACCAAAGGTTTATAGATAAATACTAATAAAATTCATCAATCTTTCCTCGAGCTCCATTAGGATACTCTTAAAAATGCAGTTCACACTTTAAGCTCATTAAACAGTTTATTCAAATGCTCTAATGATATTGCTGATAACCATTTTAATTTGGGACATCGACACTACACACTCTGAGCACTCGATGGAGGTAGCGAATCAGCTTTAAAGAAAGTGTGTATGCACATGGCTTAGTTAACCTTTTCCATTCTACCTCAGTACCTCACTAACATAAAATTCTAGGAAATATTTCTGACATTCCTATGAAATACTTACATCCATACATATAGAAATTCATTAATAAATATGGCAGGACTTGGGTTAAATTGGGAATCAATATTGCTTGAAAGAGCTTGATAGATAGGCAATGAAATAGGTGAACATGTCAAACTGTGATGAAACTTAAACAAAAAGAGTTTGACATGACTAACTATAAGATTTTCAATCCTCGACGGTGCACAAATCCAGCACTGCAATGCGGCAATGTAAGAAGGAAAATGTAATCTTTTCATTCAAATGGTGCACATTATACATAGGTCTTCCCAAGAAAAAAGAACAGAAAAGACACCAATTCGTGTCCTCTTGGTCAAGGACTCTGATACCATATCAAGGCACAACACACCCAAAAACTCAAACTTGTGATTATAGGATCTCAAAAGGTTTTTATATTCTAACAATCTTCTTTCTCACTTTTCACATTTTATTGGTGTCCAACTCATATTTATCAGCTCTTACATATTGGTTGAAATCATAGTAATCATTATTAACCATTTTACAAATCGGAACATAACGCTACCAAAGCACTGCGAAGTCTAGAAGAGATTGAGATTATAAAATTAAACTTTGTAGCATTTTTGTTCAATTACTCGTGACTTGTGGTATTATTATCTACTATGTAATTCTTTGTACACAAAGGTTCTTTGGACATTAGAACCTAACGTCATAATATGACATGAAGTACCTATGATACCTCGCTCAAAAGTTGATGGTTCTTATGGATTCCCGCACCCCTCCAATTGCACTCTCCCACAACAAATTCGTGATTAGAGTTCAATTTACCTTTCTCATACGCGCCTATGGATAAGGCTTATGAGTGTGAGAACCTTAGGTCTATGAGTCTATCACAGAACTTCTCTACCCAAAAAGTCAAAAACATTTGTTTTCTCACAGAACCTTTTTTGTCAAATCAGCAGATATGATGGGAGAATTCTCTCCACTCCTTTTCTTTCTGACTGGGGTTCTAGTGACACTGAAGAAAGGTGCCACTAGCGGTGCCACTGGATTTTTGGGACACCTCCGGTGCTCCGTTCGTAAAATTGACGGTTCCTACCCCTAATCCACCCCCTAAACCCCCCACCCCTGCACCCCACCCCAACCGGACCGTTTCTTTAATTTACTCCCTATAATCCGATCCGTGGCATGTAACCAATAATTTGGAATGAGCATAACCATGTGCAGTTGTGCACAGATATATTATTCGTATAAGTATCATTCATTCATGTTCCCCTCCATTTTTGTTTTTTTCTTAAATCTCACGGATTATTATTCAATTGCACATTTTAATGGGTGCGATTGAATTAAAATGGAAGGTAAATTACCACTATACACAGAATAATCCAAAATAATCTATGGCAAGGGCGATATAGTAAAATGCCAGTTTAGGGCTTCGGGTCACCACTCCCCGTCACGCGTGGTTCAAAGCCACGTGATTATCTGTCTTTTGTTTTTCTTCTGATATTCATTTTAGAAAAATGCTAGGGTACATCAAATAAATGGTGTACCCCACATGTCCCCCATTCACTTGTTGTCCACCAAAAAAGCCAAAAAAAATTTTAAAAAATAAGTAAATAAAAAGCAAATAAAAATGTGTGGTGGAGAAGGGGGTGGAGTACACCTTTTGGTGTACCTCTAGCATTGCTCTTCGTTTTAATTTTGAATTTCTATTAAACACAGAGTATAGGTAGGTCTAACAGTCAGATACTCGGATCAATCAAATCAGTTTCGATTTGGATTTTTTCAGTTCAGATATACTCCGTATATTGGGTATATATACTATAATTAGTTCGGTTTAATTTTGGTTTGGATTTAATTAATTTGGTTTGATATAATTTTTGGGTTCAGTTCGGTTTTGGATCGATTCAGATACTGTTTGGATATCAATCAATTCAGACAAATTTCGGTTCTGGATACATTTTGGTTCATATATATTAAGCTTTCAAATATATTTTAGTTCAAATATACTTCGATTTAAGATATATTTTCGTTCAGATATATTTCCGTTTCAAATATATTTTGGATATTTTTTATTTTCAAATTAAAATTTAATTATTAGCGTTCCTTTTTTCGTTCAGATATTTGTTATATATATACTCCTTATAAAATAAAATATGTTTAAACCACTGGTGAACCAGTACATGGTCTGGTCTAGTTTGACATGGGCAAGAGTTCTTTTTGACAAAAGTCTAATTATTTTTTTTAAAATTTTAGTGCTTAATAAAATGCTCAGAGTACGGATTATTTTTTACGCATCATTAATAAAACTACGGAGTATATTTTCAAATGTAATTACTGATTTTACTAACTTTAACACACTTATTTTCATACATTTTATTATAAAAATATTGAAAATGACTTTTTATATATGTACTGGTGGGATAAATTCTATTAATTTATATTTAGAATGAACTTTTCCTGGGATAAATTTAAGTTTAGAGTTCGGCTACTTTAACACAATTCACTTATCTTTGACCTTAGTTTTCAAGATCATATTATGACCCGCGATCTCTATAGTATTCCATTGGTAAAATTGATAGTTCTTATCTCCCTTAACCTCCCCTACACCTCACCAAATTACCTCCCCTACCCCCATCTTTCTATATATATAAAAATATTGAGAATGATGGAAGTAGCATTTTTATTGAAAATGAACTTTCACTTGAGATAAACATAATTATATTTTTAAATGACGAAAAAATATGAGTACTATACTTTTTTCTAGGATGCTTTGAGCTTGATATATTTTTGGTGTATTGATCATTTGATTATAATGTAATGTCTATTTTTTTAAATAGAAATATTTCTTTATAATTTTCTCAACCTAAATTTATTGGTAGAGGCCCATGACAGTATGAAACTAGTGGTATAAAAATGGTCTTATTTTATGTGTTCATTGTGCCCATCAAATAGTTAGCATCTCCAATAATATTAATTTGGCTTGCTAAAAGTTACTTTTTCGGTTTAAATTTAAAATTATTTTTAATACTATTTATGTGATAATTGAAGTTAATAAAAAATAAATTTACACATTAAAAAATTACATAATAAAATTTATAAAATTTACAAAATTTTATCTAATGTTTAAAAGATAGAGGTTATATTTTGGATGACATGTTGAGACATGAGTTTGAGACTCTTTACCGGAGAATTCAACAATGGTCCCCAAGAAATTCTTTTCCTAAATTATTTAATTTTTATTTTTTATAGTCATGATTGATAAATTTTGAATTTTAATTGAATAACTTTATATTAGATATTAATAGAAAACAAATTTTAATTTATTAAATGTATCTTATAGTCACGAACTCACGATCGATAAATTTTGAATATTAATTGAATAAAATTTGTATTAGATATTAATACAAAACAAAACATATTAAATTTCGGCCCGGTTCCATGGCCGCTGGATTCCAGTACCTACGGAAGCCACTACCCCCCTGCCAAGTCCCGACCCAAATTAATCACCTCACCTACGTCAATTGCACCTCGTAAGTATAATTGACTTTAAAGTCAAAACTTTTGACTTTACACTTACGAGGTGCAATTGACGTAAGTGGGGTGATTAGTTTCGGTCGGGACTTGCCGGGGGTTTACCGGGAGGATTAGAGGGGGTAGGAATCATCAATTTTATGAACTGAGCTCCGTATGGGGGCAGTGGCTTCCGTAACCACTGGAATCCAGTGGCCATGGAACCGGGCCGATTAAATTTACCTTATGACATATTTTCAAGATAATATTTTATCCAATAAATATTTCTTTTTTATATAATTTTTGTTTAATTATAAGTAAAATATTGATGTGAGTTCACTTGTAAAATGTCAAGACAATACTAGACTTAATTCTAAAATTGAAATTATTAGCCTAAAAAAGTAAGTCCAACTTTTGATCAAGGGAGAAAGACCAAAGTAGGACTAAAACAATGAAATTATACTAAAATAGGACTTTCATATTTTTATTTCCAAAATAGGACTTACATTACCAAACATGGTCATATACATTACCAAAAAAGTATAGTAATGTCATCAAACACGGGAATAAGAAGCAAGCTCGCCTTCCTTTTTTCTTTTTTTATAGAGGGGGATGCAGAAAGTGGACAAAATAGACTCGCTACCACAGTCGGGGAAAAAAACATGAAAGTCCTATTTTGGTACTTTTCTCTATGTTTTAGTCCTATTTAGGATGATTTCTATTTGATTAATTGAGCGATTAAACTTTTACGCTCCGTCCTAACAAATTTGTTGTTAAATATTCTGTTTTGATTTTTTGGTTAAACAGTGACACTCTTTAACTATAAATTGTGAGAAAAATATGTTTAATTACTCCGTATAATATACTCCATTCAATAGAATAGAGTTAATCTTAAAATGTAGTTTTGATATATCAAATTTTTATATTTTTTATTTATTTAGATTATATTTAATTTATAATAAAAGAGTATTATTATTTAAACAAGAAAAGTTAAAAGAGGAAAACTTTTTAAGAGGACGGTAACTATTTCATAAGGAGCAATAATAAATTAATAATCCCCTAACAACAACAAAAAAATACGGAGTAATAATGGAAGGATAAATGTACCCACATACCCGAACGTGGCGAGCTGAGCCAAGAAGAAGGGATACTGTTTAAGAGGGACAAGAGCGAGCTTGTAGAGGACGCGATTCGCTACGCCGAGGACCACCGTAGCCGTTGCTGCAACCAACACTTCCGCAGCCCGTACGCCCCCGCGATTCTCCCCAGCCACTTCCACTCCTTGAACATCTCCAACTGTACACGGATTGATCTTCCGCCGACTCCTCCGCGAATCTCCGCATCTCGCGGCAGCGCCGACTGGCGTGAGAACGATTTCCGTCCTCTGCCGCCGCCGCTCCCGCTGTTGAAGCGGCAGCCGCCACGCCTCACCTCCGTGGAATCGCGAGATTACATGCTGGAATTCTGCTCTCCGTTGGCAGAGATACGTATGACGGCCGGCATCTGGCACCGCCCTCCGATTGAGCCGCCGGTGATCGGCCGACTCAATGCAGCCATTATTGCTCCTCCGCACCGATCAATCCAGTTTGGATCATTAGCTTCTACAAACAGGATATAGCGATTTTGCTACGCTCGCACGCATTCAAATTGGGAGAAGAAATAGTTACTCTATTTTTCTTTGGTAGAAGAAATAAGAAAATGGGAAAGAATGGAATAATTCAGATTTCAGATTCTCCAATTGTTATGGCAAACACGATAAAGACAATAGGCGTAAGGGAATTAAATTCACTTCTTTAATCATTACTCCCAAAGAGGAAGGTAATTTTAAGAATTTGTTCTATACCTAGGTCTCATAATGTATTCAAAAAGATGAGAGGTATCCCAATTAGTACCCCAAGTTAGTACCTCAAAGTTAAATACATACAGGCCGTGTTTGGAAAACAACATTTGGGATAGCTTTTGGCATCTTTGACTGACTATGATTTTTTTGACCAAGCGAACCGCCAAAACCATTGTTTGGCTAATGGCTTTTTCACTTGGCATTTTGATCCGAAAAGCCAAAATCTGAAATGCCAAGGTGAGTAGCATTTGGACATGACGGTTAGGAAAAATATTTTTTTAAAAATCATTTTTGTTGAAAGATATTTTATAATATATGTAAAAAATAAAAATAAAAGTTAAAAAAATTAAATACGAAAAAATAAAATGAAATTAAAAAAAAATTATATTTATAATTCATTAAAAAATTTATATTTATAATTTATTATGAATTAAATGAAATTAAAATTTAATATTCCATATAGTAAAGATTTAATTTTTACATGTAAAAAAATGAAAAATAAATATCATGTCTACACACACACACACATACAGACACACACACACACACATATATAATTTTTTATTTAATTTTTTTAATTTAAAAAATATATATTTATGATATGATATTTAAAAATATTGTAAAATAAAATATACGATAAATGGAGGGATGTCCTTTTATGTAATTTTATTTACAAACAGCTAACTATAAACAGCTAAAGTTGCCAAACACTTAAAATTTAACTGCTAACAGAAACAGCCGGTCAAAACAGCTAACTCAATCAGCCATTCAAATCAGCTAGCATAAACAGCCAACAGCCAACTGCCAACTGCTAGTATCCAAACAAGGCCACATAGTGTTTGTGCCTCGTATAATACATATTTGTGTATGTTTTGTCTTTGTACTCTCTTCATAAGTCATTTTCATTTATCACTTTTAAAATTTACATAATATTTTTTTTAACATTTAAAATACAACAACTATTTGCACCTCGCCCACAATATACCCCACCTATTTTCGTTATGGGTATTTTGATAAATTTTTAACTATTTTTAACTCTATTAAAAAATTACAAAAAGTCAAAACGAAAACATCTTAGAGAGATAGAGGAAGTACAAATTAGGTACTCTCTTGGTCCATAATTTTCTTTTCAGTTTGACTTGTCACGATATTAATATAGTAAAATTTGTGTAGAGAAAGAGAATCGATAATATAATGATCATTCATTTTTTTAAAAAAAAGAAAGATAAAAATACTTTGGGATATTCCAATATAATTATAGAATGGAGAGAGTTATAAATTGATGTATTTAAACTCTACCGGAATATGAATCATGAAATGAATTATAGATATGAGAAGATCAATAATAAGAAAAGCCCTAAATTGTCAAGAATGTAACCCCCTCTTTGATGGTCACACGCCACCAAGTAGACCGACTGAGGGGTCGGGCATGAGTGAGTAAGCAAAAAAAGATAAGTAAAGAGAGAGTGCAATATAAGAGTTTTATTAGTTTTTTCTAGATTCGTTTACAAGTGAAAGAAAGGGGTATTTATACTACCATCACATTATTAGTTACTCCCTCCCTCCGTCCTAAAACCATCTTCCCATTTGTGTTTACGAGGTTTGACCGACTTTATTTTCAATTCAATTTATTTGATTGTAGGTGTAAAATTAAAAAAATAAAATTTACATATTTAAAAACTACATTAAAAGTTCTACAAAACAAGAGGTGACAAGACTACATTATTTTGTCAAATAAGTAGCGAAAATAGGTAAAGAAAGTGATTTAAGTTTGACCGTGTGAATAGTATCTGCGAAGATAGTTTTAGGACGGAGTACAATGATAGTAGACCATGATTCACACTCCTTTGTCACTAGTACATGGAATCTCATCCGATATTATCAAGCTTTTAATAAAGTCAAATTTTTGTAGAAAAAAGAACAATGATAATGAGAACCTGTATTATACATCTGGGTGTACCTAAAGCTAGGTAAATATAACAAATGTTAATTTTGAATCAACGTAATGTTCAGGCGAAAATGCAAGTAACATTTGGATTAGTATTTTGGGTAAACGATGCAAAGGAGGTGGTCTATTTGCTCGTTTTTGTAGTAGTGGAAGCACGGCGGTAGCGGTCGACGACAGGTGAAGGTGGAGGTGGCGATGACGGTGGCTTCACTGTAGCGGCAATGACTTTGCCAGCGGTGATCCTAGCTTACAGCTCCTATGTAGCCGTTGTGGGCTTTTCCAGTATGAGGTGAGAACATTATGTTCCTTTAGAATGAATACAATGTTGCGTTATAATGAGTACTACGTTGCTTCAGAATGAACTGTGTTGTTTGAGAATGAACACTACGTTGATCGTAAATGAATATTATAATCAGGAAAAAATATTATAATTGTAATGAACAAATGTGTGAAAATGAACACTACATTGTTTCAGAATGAGCACTACATTGATTCAAAATGAAAACCACGTTATTTCCAAATGAATACTCTTTTACTCACTTATTTTTTGTGCAAAATGAGTACTATTTTACTCCAAAATAAATACTACTCGGTTGTATCATAATTTTTGTGCATCCGACTGTACAATATAGGCACTCACTTCCATGTGAGTTTTAAAAAAATGATTTTATTGAGCTAAAATTACGAGTGTTCTTTAAAATTAGTTGAAAGTTCTTAATATTTTTTAAGATGTTTGTGTACTTTGTCCAAAATTGTAGTATGTGTTCCAAATATAAATAGCTAGTTGATGTGTGTAAATAGTGTATTGCTATTCACATGCTAAAAAACACCGGAGTATGTTATTTCACTTCTTTCAATTGTTATTTTTCTCACTTTTTGTGTTGCTAACTTTCTAAATTCTTGTGTTGCGAATTTGAGGTTTCCAATGTCCATTGCAAGGGATTAGATGACATTTATTGCAAATTTTATGGTAGACAAGCCTTAGATTATCGATGTCATGGCTCCCCCCAACCCCCAACCCCCAACATTTTAATCGCCTTCATCCACCCCCAAAGAAAACGAATTCAAATACATGAAGTATTTTAGCGAATCGAATGCGAATGTTTTTTAAAATTTAAACTATATACGAATTCGAATAAATATCAAATGAATATGAACGAATAATGACATATTTGCTTCGATTCGTATACACCCCTAACTACAAGTATATTTAAGCTTGTTTTTCTCCAATAACAATTATTTATACCGACCTCGTCCGGGCATCCATATATGTTATTCATTACTCATATAAGCACTCCACTCCGTGGTAGTAATATAAAGAGGCTAGAACTGGGAAGGTAACATTTCAATGGCTCCTTCAGTTCATCAATTCTCTCAGAATGAATGAAAAGAGATTCAAATGCGTTGATGTATGTGTAATACCGTATAGTTATTACTCCGAATACTATAGAAGAACCTTCAGTTGGTGAAACTTGGGTGGGACAATGCAATGGCAGCCTTGGAGCCAGACTGGCGTCCCAAGTGCTTGCAGATAAACTCACCTGCCACCAATAGCTTTCCCAGGTCGACATTCGTTTTCACACCTAACCCATGTAGCATGTAGACCACGTCCTCTGTTGCCACATTCCCAGTCGCTCCCTTGGCATATGGGCACCCTCCTAAGCCAGAAACTGACGAGTCCACCGTGCATATTCCCATCTGTCCATTTAAGGTATAATGTATTTACAAGTATTTGAAAAAACATTCTCATAGAAATTTACCAAGTACGTAAAAGATGCAAATAAGGTACTCCCTACGTCCCAAATTAATCTTCTTGATTGGGTATGGCACAAACTTTAAGAAAAGTGAAAATGGGTGGTTGAAGGGGAGAGAGAAAGATGGTGAGCCAGAAAAAGCTTTCCAAAAGAGGAACATGAAGCTTTTTATTTGGGACTTCCCGAAAAGAAAAACAGGGATATTAATTTGGGATGGAGGGAGTATAATTTTATGTTGATAATCAGACTGACAAATAGATGATGGATATTCTTAAAAGAGAAGTATTTTTTTATCGGACGGCCCTATACATTGAGGTGGACCCCGGTAGGGTACACCTCTATGTACATGAGGAACTTTGTTACTAATGATTAAAAACAACAGACTTGAATGGGTGACGAGAAATCAAACTTCAACTTTTATTACTTGCAGATTTTATGTTAGTGGCCTTACTTGGAGAGAAACTAAGATATTTGGAAGAGATTGGCCATAAGTGTCGTGGAAATGGACGGCAAGCTTCTCGACTGGAACAACAGCCATCACGGCATCAAGCATGGGAATGACAGTTCCTAAAACAAATAAAATTTGAGTGTCCTAAATGAGGCAGTATAAGGAAGGCCGCCTGAGA